ATTCTCGTATTATTGTCGTTTTATTTTAGTATTCCTCAATGAGTAGTTGCAATCATCGTTGTATTATTATTGTCGTTTTATTGTAATATTCCTGAATGATTAGTTACAATGATCGTTGTAGTATTATTCTCGTTTTCTTGTAGTATTATTATCGTTTTATTGTAGTATTTATGTATTATTAGTTGCAATAATCGTTACAATATTCTTACAATAATAGTTATAGTATTATTGTCGTTTTATTGTAGTATTTCTGTAATAATTAGTTGCAATAATCGTTGTAGTATTCTTGCAATAATCGTTGTAGTATTATTGTCATTTTATTTTGGTTGTATTGCGGTAGTTCTTTGGTTATATTGTGTTATATTATCCTCGGTATAAGTTTGATACGACCGCGGACTGGTGAATCTAACAAAGGAATATTCCAATAAAACCGTGATATATTCCTCCGCCAGTGCGCGTATATATTTTGGTTGTATTGTGGTAATACTTCGACAATATTTTGGTATTATTCAACGCAAATCAGAGATAAAATTAAGTTAAATTCCAAAAATATTTTAAATCGCACGGATCTTATTCAAATGTCATTTAATCATTCATAGATGTTATGTAGTAGTCTTATTATTTATTTATCCAAGGTACAAGCTTGATACAACCGCGCACTGGCGAATCCAACAAAGGAATATTCCAATAAAACCGTGATATATTCATCCACCAGCGCGCGTATATATTTTGGTTGTATTGCGGTAATACTTCGACAATATTTTGATATTATTCAGCGCAAATCAGAGATAAAATTAAGTTAAATTCCCAAAATATTTTAAATCGCACGGATCTTATTCAAATGTCATTTAATCATTCGTAGATGCTATATAGTAGTCGCATTATTTATTTATCCTCGGTACAAGCTTGATACAACCGCGGACTGGCGAATCCAACAAAGGAATATTCCAATAAAACCGTGATATATTCCTCTGTCAGCGCGCGTATATATTTTGGTTGTATTGCGGTAATACTTCGACAATATTTTGGTATTATTCAGCGCAAATTAGAGATAAAATTAAGTTAAATTCCCAAAATATTTTAAATCGCACGGATCTTATTCAAATGTCATTTAATCATTCGTAGATGCTATGTAGTAGTCGTATTATTTATTTATCCTCGGTACAAGCTTGATACAACCGCGGACTGGCGAATCCAACAAAAGAATATTCCAATAAAACCGTGATATATTCCTCCGCCAGTGCGCGTATATATTTTGGTTGTATTGCGGTAATACTTCGGGAATATTTTGGTATTATTCAACGCAAACTAAAGATAAAGTTAAGATAAATTCTTAAAATATTTTAAATCTCATGGATCTTATTCGTAGTAGATGCTACGTAGTAGTCGTATTACTTATTTATCCTCTGAAAAAGCCAGAAACGATATTATGGTATTACTTCGGGAGTGGTATTTCTAAAATTTCAGTATTATTCAACACAAACGACATTATACTTTGCAACATATACATTAATTCTAAAATTACAAACAATAGATCGTTTCAATTACTTGGTATTTCACACATTA